ATACCTTCTTTGGGCTTTGTATTTTCCTGTTCCTGTGCTGTGTCCTCTTCCCCGATGACATAAAATTATTTAATACCACAGACAATGCTGCTGCCCTACAAAACGAACTTGACTATGTGTCAGAATGGTCACGCAATTGGCAACTCCAAATCTCAACTAACAAATGCTCTGTCCTACACATTGGCAAAAATAAATAAATAAATCAGAACACCAAATGCAAGTTAGGAGGAAATGATCTCGTTGATGACCCTTACTCTGTCAAAGACCTAGGAGTACTTATCTCAAATGATCTAAGCCCCAGAGTTCACTGTAACAGCATTGCCAAAAAGGCTTTAAGAGTTGTTAACCTTATTTTGCGAAGCTTCTTCTCCAGCAACATTGAACTGTTAACTAGGGCAGGGGTCCCCAACCGCCGGTCCGCGGACCGGTACCGGTCCGCAGAACAAGTCTTACCGGGCCGCTGGTTGCTGGGCGCCGCCATCTTTTTTTGGTAAAAAAGTGCTTCCGGTGAGCTTTTCCAGGTAGAAAGCTCACCGGAAGCACTTTTTCATCAATCACTTTTCCATTTCTACCCGAAAAAGCTCACCGGAAGCGCTGGCGCCGCCATCTTTTTTGACGAAAAAGTGCTTCCGGTGAGGTCACCGGAAGCACTTTTTCGTCAAAAAAAGATGGCGGCGCCCAGTTGATGCCGGTGCCGGGCCGCGGCGCCCAGCTGATGCCGGTACCGGGCCGCGGCGTCAAAAAGGTTGGGGATCACTGAACTAGGGCATACAAAGCCTTTGCCAGACCAATTCTCAAATACAGCTCGTCCCCCTGGAACCCGTACTGTATATCGGACATTAACACAATTGAGTGGGTTCAGAGGTATTTCTTGAGAAAAGTACTCCACTCCTCCACTCACAATAGAATTCCCTATGCCTCCAGGCTCAAAATTTTGGGCCTGGACAATCTAGAATTGCGCCGCCTGAAGTCTGATCTAAGCCTAGTTCACAAAATTGTCTGCTATAATATCGTGCCCGTCAATGACTTCTTCAGCTTCAGCCTCAATAATACACAGGCAAACAACCGATACAAACTCAAAGAAAACCACCCTAAACTCAATTGCAGAAAATATGATCAACAGAGTAGTCAATGCCTGGAACGCCCTACCCGACTCCGTTGTTACAGCCTCAACCCTTCACAGCTTCAACCTCAAACTCAGCTGTGGACCTCATCCCATTCCCAAGAGGTCCTTAAGGGGGCGTGCATAAGCACACCAGCATGCCTACCATGACTTTACTGTCCCCATTTATCTGTATTAACTCCCTTTGTTCTTGCTTATGTTCATACTTATACTTGTTATCTTGTACATGTTTGACAAATAAATAAATATAATAAATAAATATGTCCTTTAACTCCAAGGAGTTTGAACTATCCTGTCTTGAATGGATTACCAAATCTGCATTTCTAAAAGCTGGCCACTCATCTTGTACTTGGGGACAGGGAGACTGACTTAAGAGCATGTTTCTCCATTTCTCCTTTTGGGGACATATAATATTTTGCCTTTTTAATATTCCTCAAAACATTTCATTCTTCTGGGGTTGGGGATGAGAGTTTCCCACAAATTGTGGTGCTGCTATGCAAACTATTAAATATATTGTGCATTCTCTAGATCTAGAAGATCTACATGAAGCAATGCTAGAGGTGATTGCCTGGATAGCTAAATTGGATATCCAGTTATGAGGTCGCTGCCATACCCTGTATAAGTTTTACTTATGTGGACTGTGTTTGCTTCTTTTATCATGTTCTCATCATATGCTAAATAATGTGGGAAGCCTTCACCCCAGAAGAAATATTTTGGTAAATATTAAAAAAGACAAAAGTATTATATTTTCTTAAAGGAGAAATGGAGAAACATGTTTCAGAGGCAGGAAGCAGCCCCCAAGTGTTTCTTAATAGCCCACAGCAGATGCCAGCACTTAAGAAATAAAGAGTTTACTGAAAGAGGAAGAAAAGTATCTAGATAGCTCTATTCATAAGCAAATCATACTGCAGGCAGAAATCCATTTCAAGACAGGATATTTTGAAACTCCTTGGCAGAATGGTAGGATTAGAAAGCAGCCCCTCACCCAAGATCCAACACAGGACAAAAGCCATTAGCCACGATAGGAATTGCCCAGCACCCTTTCAGAATACAAGCCTCTTAATTGCACCATCCCCAGAGCAGTCCAAACTTCAAAGTCACAGAAACCTGGGAGCTTGGATAAATAATAAGCCAGAGGTTGACCAGATTAGCTCACAAGCACCTAGGATTTGCATTTCTCCTTTTGCCTATAGAGCCAGCTATAACCCTTACATGACCCCTATAAGAATCTGACAACAGCCAATAGAATATTAAAAGAAATGCTCTTGAACAGGAAGCTCAAATACAAAGCTCAAAGAAGGTATAAAAGCCCACCCACTCTCAACTCCATTTTGTCAGCTGCCCAGAATCGCACGTGGTTCTGCTTCCATCAATAAACCTCTCTCTACAATCAGCCTTCGTTGGATCAGTGTCTTTCTCCCAGTTTGGAACTGAACCAGATGGATATTTCTTCCAACAATAACAATAAATTATTTGATAGTTGCTGCTTTATTTGCTAGCCTTGAATTTTTAAAAATAAGGTTATTTATTACTGCATTATCATTGTGTTTGCATTTTACTATGCCTGCCCAGTTTGATTTGGTTGAGCTGCAAAAATGTAAAACAAATAAATGGTCACATAGCAAACAAAGTGGGCAAGTTAATTCCCTTTAAGATGAAACCAATAGCACAACTATTGCAGCTAATCTTCCAGACTCGGGGGCAAAAGTGAGCAATTGCGTTCTCTTCGCTGATGATGTAAAGCTGTTCAATACCACAGACAATACTGCTACCCTACAAAAAGATCTTGACTATGTATCAGAATGGTCAAACAAATGGCAACTTCAAATCTCAACAAATAAATGCTCTGTCTTACATATTGGCAAAAAAAATCAGAAAATAAAATACACGCTGAATAGTCAAGATCTTGTTGATGACCCAAGCTCTGTAAAGGACCTTGGAATACTCACCTCTAATGATCTAAGTGCTAGAGCCCACTGCAACTACATAGCCAAAAAGGCATTAAGAGTTGTTAACCTAATCCTACGTAGCTTTTTCTCTGGTAATATCACACTACTAACCAGAGCATACAAAACATTTGCTAGACCAATACTCGAATACAGTTCATCAGTCTGGAACCCACATTACGTATCTGATATTAGCACAATTGAGAAAGTCCAGAAATATTTCACAAGAAGAGTTCTCCACTCCTCTACTCGTTGTAGAATACCTTATGCCACCAGACTTGAAATTCTAGAACTAGAAAACCTTGAATTACGCCGTCTTCGGTCTGACTTAAGCATGGTATATAAAATCATACATTGCAATGTCCTACCTGTCAATGAATACTTCAGCTTCAACCATAACAACACAAGAGCACACAATAGATACAAACTCAAAGTTAACCGCACCAAACTTGATTGCAGGAAATACGACTTCAGCAACAGAGTGGTCAATGTCTGGAATACTCTACCCGACTCTGTAGTTTCTTCCCCAAACCCCAAAAACTTTAACCTTAGACTGTCTACTATTGACCTCACCCCTTTCCTAAGAGGTCTGTAGGGGGCGTGCATAAGCGCACCAACGTGCCTACCGTCCCTGTCCTATTGTTTCTCTTATTCTTTTATTTTTCTTATATGTACCCATTTCATGTATTCACAACTATGTATACACTTATACTTATTATCTTGTAAACAATTGGCAAATCAAATAAATAAATAAATAAATAAATGTTCTATACCATGGCCACCAACCTTTGGTACCTCAGGGACCACTAAATTCATAATTTTAAATCCCGCAGATCACTAACATGATCTGCCTAATGACTGGCTGGGTGGCCATGGCTATGTCTGGGTGGGCATGGCCAACTCAATGTCACTCCTTGCCTGCCCACCCGAGCTCCTTAGGGCCCCAAGCCCCAACAGGAAGCAGTTGTTGGAGCCAAGCAGCCACCAGGAGAAAGAGTTGGCAAAACAGCTGGCACAGTTCAAAATGGATCTGACCGAGAAGGAGGCTCAACAGAAGCACCTCACTAAGGACTACGAGCATAGGCTTTCCAGCAGAGGGAAGACCTGCAGGAGTGCAAGGCCAAGTACCGGCACCTGAAGGCTCAGTAGACTGAGATTATCAGCCAGTTCCAGGCCATGATGCAGTCCCACTGGAACAAGGCCTTCTGGTTCTTTATCACCAGCGGCACTTCCCTCCAGCCTTCGTCCAAAGCCCCTCACCAGGAGGCTGAAGAGACCGCAAGTCGGAAGTTCTGCCCACCTCCAACCTGCACAAAAATACCCCAAAGACTCTCTGCAGCAACACAAACATTCATTGCATGTATCTGGCCCAGGGGCCGTAGTTTGAGGACCCCTGATTTAGTGCAATATAAAAAATGCAAATAATTTTTCTGTGGACCACCAAATTTTTCTTGAGACCACCAGTGGTCCATGGACCCCACAGTTGGTGACTGCTATTCTATACTATTTATAGCATTCTTCTAGTCTGGCTTTGTATTATATTGATTATATCTCCAAATTTCCATATGAATGCAAGATTGGTACATAACATTCCTCAACGTGGAATTATTACAGTAAGATTACAGTATTTTTTTTATTACAGTAAGATTACAGTAAATTTACTGAAACCAATAAGTGAAGCAAAGAGATGGGCAAAAGAATGCAGGCAAAGCATTTATCCATAGCCAAAGCAAGATTAGGAAAGAGATTTTACTAGGCTAAACTCAGTTCTACTACTATTTCTTAACAAACGTGGGTGGGATAAAAAATAAAGCAGGAACGCTGAAAAATTTCACCCCGACTCCTAAGTTCTTTCCCTCACAATGCATGCTGGGAGATGTATTTCTGAGTTATCCGCGTGCCCGCTTTCCAAAGCATGCCGGGAAATGTAGTTTTCCCACTCCAGCTTTGAATCGCGGTTCCTGTTCCACGTTACTTCCCTAGCTGGGCATGAACGGAGCGGGAGAGCCGGATCCGGGCGGCGGGGGCTACAAGAGGCGTTATAGAGCCTTAAAAAGGAGACTCAAATTCCTGATTTATGTAAGCGGCCGGGAATTTCGGGGGTGGGAGGGAATCGGTGCTGGCAGAAAGAAAGGGGGTGGGTTGGAGGAGCAAATATTTTAGGGAGACCTGGGCATGGGGGTGGGTGGGTAAGCATAACAAGGGGCGTTTTACAAGAAAGAATAAGTGGTAAAAATCATATTGATCGCATGCCTCCCAGACATTTAAAGAGATTCTGATATTTGTGGATGTTGAGTAAATAGAGGTGTGATGACAAGTGAGATGAGGGTGATCAGAGAGACAAGACCTTCCAGATGAATATTATAAAATGATTATTACAGAGGGCTGTAAAGCGATATATAAGTCTACTCACTATTGCTATTATTTTGCCCAGGGGTCCATAAGAAGGCATATACATGTTTAACTGTGAATTTCTATGTTTCTCAATCTTGAAAACTTAAAGATGTGTGGATTTAAATTCCCAGAAGTCCCCAGACTTGCTAAGGTTAAGAAACACAGCTCCAGAAGCTCAGGTTTGAACTGACTTAGGTTGTTTTGGTGGGAGCAGAAATAATTTGCCCTTGCCTAATTCTGGGATGTGCTTTGGAGTTTGTGTCTCTCCATATAGCCCTATTAGTCAGATCCAAGTAACTTTAGTTTTTACAGATCAGCGTGTAACATACACATCTACAATTTGTGACTGACTACTTTGCTGACCATTCTGGTAAACTATTACTGTTTGCTCAAGCATCACATGTTAGGTGAACCCAGCAATTGTATTTTATTCATATCTTAAAAGTTGCTAAAGTTGAGAAACCCTGAGCTAACAGGCTACAGAATTTGAGGAGACTGCAAGAAAGGGGGTTAGTCCCACAGGATGCCCATTTGGGTCCTAGACCCTGCTTTCCAAGCCACAATAATTGGATTCACATGATATGCTAAGGCAACATTAAGCAAACAACGTTGTGCCATAAGAGCCTTGTCTGTCAAATTTGCAGTAGTATAAAAGGGATAATAATACCAATCTGCCTTGCAGATTGCTGGGATTACTTGCCCTCACAAAGCCCTAAAAATTTGGGAAGAATGTATCTCCATACAGCCAATTTGTGTTATCACACTAAAGAGCTGTTTTCTTAAAACAGCAATTCTGCCTATAGGGGAATAATTTACAAAACAATACTCTACTGTGAAAAGGTAACATGAATAATCATATTATATTGATGATGCAGATAGTCCTCTTTATGAGTGGTTGCTTAGTGACTGTTCAAAGTTAGGGACAGGCCTTCTCAAGGCTACTTAGTGATTCTGGTTTGTTGAGGGTTGTCACAGGAGAGCATATTAGGCACTAGGTAGTTGGCTCACATTTATGGCCATTTGCAGTACCCATGGTTATATGACTATGTTTTATTATGTTTTTGCCTGAACTGCACTTACTTCCAGTTTTTGGCAAGAAGTGGCCACAACAAACAATGGATTCGCTTAATGACAGCTGCAAAAAAGCTACAACACCTGGTGACCTGCACTGTGACTCAGAGTTGTAATGGGCAGGCTCCATTTTGGTCGTAAATGAAGGGCTACTTATAATAAACAAGGGAGTCAACTCAGGCAGGAATACAAAATCTGACCAAGAACTGAAACTTAAACAATTATCAATTTGCCGCTACTTGATGGCTCAGAAAAGCAGCAATTTTTGCCTTGCCTGTTTACATTATGTTTATGGAGGGGATCTACTCCCCAAAGAGGAAGAATGAACCAGGGGTGGCTGCTGACTGCGGTGACTCCTGGCACTCCATTAATCTTTCCAGATCCTAGAGACTCTGTGCATATGGACGAATGAGATAGAAGATACCATTGGAATGCTGGTTGTATGTTAAACATTTATGGATCCCCATTACTTGATATGAGGGAATGTTGGAAGTAAATTGAATTTTCTCCTACAAACTTCTATCCATTTTGTGAACCAGTGAGTTGCTACTTTTGCAGTTAAGGCAGCAAGGTTGAAAGGGAAAACAGGTCACAACCACAACTGAGCTGAAATTTCTGTTGCTAAGTAACACAGTTGTTAAATGTGTCTTGCCTCATTTTACATTCTTGCTTAGCACAGTTGTTAAGTGAATCTTTGCAGTTGTTATGTTAGTAACAAGGTTGTTAAGTGAATCTGGCTTCCCCATTGATTCTGCTTGTCAAAACATCACAAAAGAGGATCACATGACTCAGGGATGCTGCAACCATCATAAATACGAGCCAGTTGCCTAGTGTCTGAATTTTGATCACGTGACCAGGGGATGCTGCAACAGTTGTAAATGTGAAACACAGTCATAGTCACTTTTTTTCAGTGCGGTTGTAACTATGAATGGTCACTAAACAAATGGTTGAAAGTTGAGGACCATATGTTAGACTCTGCCTAACATGAATAATTATGTCGTGCTTCTGTTTCCTAGGAGACTGACAAGATGGGTTAATCTATATTTTCTTAATCATTTTAAAGTGTTATGTTACAAAGATTCAGATGGTATTTTAATGGTATTGTTTAGATTTTAGATTTGGATTTTAATGCCTGAAATATGTTCAGATTTTAATAATGTCTCCTTTTAAAGTACCTATGTATTGTTATTACTCTTAGAGTACTTAAAATGGTATGGGGATTTATTTAATAAACTGTTTCCTTACTTACACTTAGCCTTTTTAAATAAATTCTCAGGAGCAAGAATGTTTCCAAGAAGAACTGCGAAAAGCACAAAGAAAACTCTTGAAAATTTCACGGGATAAAAGGTAAGCTGCTCTGATGAGGAAGAATAGAGGGTATGTGAAATTGCCAAGAGCTCAATCAGAATTAGAATGTAGCGGCAGAAAGACAGAATTAATACACTTTCCCACTTGAGTCTGGAGTCTTCGATGGCCGGGTGGCAAGTAGAAGTTTAACTTGTCATTTTATTTTATCCAAATGCCTTTTGAATGTTTGCCTTTAAAATGGGCAGCTTAATCATTTGAATTAGAGGTAAAAATAGTTGGTGCAGTACGGGGATTTCCAACCTTCACAACTTCATAACCCATGGACTTCAATTCCCAGAATTCTGCCTGTAACAGGTCTTAAAGTTGACAAGGTTGGACTCCTCTGGCATAATATTAAAGCCACCAGACTAGAAGCGGGGAGGCTGGGAATTCTAGTCCTGCTTTAGGGTGCAAAGCCAGCTGGGTGACCTTAGGCTAAGCACTCAAGACGGTAGTGAAAAACCACTTCTGAAAGATGCTACCAAAAAAAACCTGCATGGTGTGGTCCAGGTGGCCACCAGGAATCAAAACAGGCTTACAGATACTAAAAACAAAGCAACAACATCTCAGTTAAAGGGACATCTCTTTGAGATTATAAGCAGCCACCTAGTCTGGGGTTGGAAACAAAATGAGATAAAACCTTGTTAATATTTGCAACGGGGACTGTAAGGTCTTAGTAGCAAGCAAAGGACCTGAGGCCAGATTGGTCCATTACAGTATTACTGGACAGAGCTCAACTGCTTTCTCTGTTGAAAAGTGAATGGCTCTCAGGCTGTTGCAATGCCTGGATGGGGATAAAAGTGGATTTGAACCTTGCATCTGCCCTACAGAACAAGGGTCCCCAATGCCTGCAGATTGTACCAGGCCATGGCATGCTAGAAAAGGCCGTACAAACAAGAGAAGCCCTAAACGTGGGATGCAGGCAGCACGTGAAAACACTCCCCCTCCGGTCTGCGGAAAAGTCTGTCCACCGAACCAGTCGCTGGTGCCCAAAAGATTGTGGGGTGCTGATATAGAGTATAACTTGAAACTTACAGATTGCAGTTGCTGGTTTTCTTCACATTAATGGCTTTGCTAGTGCAGGTAATCCTCGATTTTTAACCATTTGTTTAACGACTGTCAACAATAGCACTGACTGTTATAATAGCACTGAAAAAGTGACGGGCAGCCGGTCTTCACACTTATGACTAATGCAGCATCCCCAGGGTCACATTATCAAAATGGAGCTGCTTGGCAACTGGCACATATTTATGATGGTTGCAGCATCCCTGGGACACGTGACCGTTATTTGTGACCTATCCAGCCTGCTTCTGACCAGCAAAGTCAGCGGAGGAAACTGGATTCACTTAAACCACCACACAATTCATTTCACAAGTTCGATGATTTGCTTAACAACTGTGATAAAACCATTGTAGAATCAATGCTTTGAATCGTTTAACAACCGCCTTGTTTGCATGGAAATTCTGGTCCCAGTTTTGGTTGTAAGTCAAGGATTCCCTGCGTCTGTCCACAACCTCTCTTTTTCAAGAGCTGTGAAGCTCAGCCTATGAGCCACTAGAGGTGGTGCTTGACTTACAACAACAACTGAGCCCAACATTTCTGTTCTAAGCAAGACATTTGTTAAGTGAGTTTTGACCCATTTTACGTCCTTTCTTGCCTCAGTTGTTAAGTGAATCACTGCAGTTGATAAGTTAGTAAAATGGTTGTTAAGTGAATCTGACTTCCCCATTGACTTTGCTTGTCAGAAGGTTGTAAAAGGGGACCACAAGACCCCAGGGACGCTGCAAAGGTCATAAGCACGAATCAGTTGCCAAGCATCTGAATTTTGATCACAGGGGATGCTGAAATGGTCATAACTATGAAAAATGGCCATGTCACATTTTTCAGTGCTTTGGTAACTTTGAATGGTCACTAAACGAACTGTTCTAAGTCAAGAACTATCTTTATGTGCAGAGGTCTTTCTTTTGCCAAGGAATAATTGCAGCTCGATTCTGGATGCCTGCCCTGAAATAGAGGATGGCCCAGAAAAACGGCAAATCTTTGGAGCCAGCTTAAGGCCTCCGCCTCTTCCTAACAATTAGGCCACAGGTCTGAGCCACTGCCTTTTCCTACCTATTTCCTCTTTCTAGCTTCCTGCTTGATCGCCTGCTCCAGTATGAGAATGTGGATGAAGACTCCTCAGGTAAAGTGAGGCTCACAACCTCCCTTTGATGGTGCTGCAAGAAAGGGGAGGATCTCCCTTTCTTTCTTTATATAGGGGCTTAATAATATTAATTTGGCTGTTGGTGGATATAATGTCACCTATTCAGGCTGGAAGAGAATAAAATAATGACCTGGTAGGTTAAAGCAGGGGTCCCCAACCACCCGGACCGGTACCGGTCCGTGGAACATTTTCTACCGGGCCGCCGGTTTGCTGGGCACCGCCATCTTGTTTCGATGAGAAAGTGCTTCCGGGTGAGCTTTTCCGGTTGGAAAGCGGCGTTTGGGTCCTGAAGGAATCCTCGCGCCTTAGTTTCATCGAAGGGGGGAGGGGGCGGCTTCGAACGAAACTAAGGCGCGAGGATTCTTTCAGCACCCAAGGCAAGGCAAGATGAGTGACCGTCCCAAAGCCGTCCCAAAGCCCATCGACAAAGGTACAAAGGAGGAGTTGAAGGTGGCGGGGAGAAGCAGGGGACGGCTGGCTGGCCGGTCGCTCAGGTAGCCTTGTCTTGTCATGTGTGCTGATGCCGGTACCGGGCCGCGGATCATTTTGTGATGCCGATACCGGGCCGTGGCACAAAAAAGGTTGGGGGCCACTGGGTTAAAGGATTTCACATCAAATGTATAAATCTGAACCAAATCTGATATCTTTATAATCATTTATAGTTTATCTTTTAAAGATAAAAGTGGTCCATATTCCACTGGAATATGGACCTTTTACTTGCTGTTAAATATTATGGAATCAAACCAGGGCAAATCCACAGTGGTAGATTTTTTTTTGATTCTGGCTGAAGATGGCATTGGTTAATAGTTAGATATTGCAGAAAACATCCTTGAGTATAGGTAGACCTCGGCTTACAACAACAATTGAGCCCAAGATTTCTTCTGCTAAGCGAGACAGTCATTAAGAGAGTTTTGCCTTGTTTTATGTTTTTTTTTGACACAGTTGTTAAGTGAGTCACTGCGGTGGTTGAGTTAATAACACGGTTGTTAAGTGAATCTGGCTTCCCAATTGACTTTGCTAGTCAGAAGGTCACAAAAAGGTGATCATGTGAATCCCAGGACACTGCAAGCCGTCATAAATTTGAGTCAGTGAGGGTTAAGTGTGAAAAGCGGTCTTAAATCACGTTTTTCATTGAACAGTCGCTAAATGAACCATTGTAAATTGAGGATTGCCTGCGTAGCTATTATGTCTGCTTGGCATTTAAAAATCGTCTCAAGGTGGACTAGAGTCATTGGTTCAACAAGCAGTTGTGTTTCTAAAAATCATGCAAGTGTGTACAGGAAGTCCTTGCTTAAGAACACCAATTGTGATTAAAAACCCGGTCATAGCTGCAAATCAGAAAACCCCATATGATTGTACCGCTTACTGATGGCAGTTTTAGCAGTCCTGATTGCTGTCATTAAGTGAGGACCCTGCAGGTCATTAAGCAAGGACCCTGCTTTATGGGACTTCTTACCTCCTGCTGGCTTTCCCATTGACTTTGACTATGAGAAGCTGGCAGAGGAGGTTGCAAATCATGTGATTGTGGATGCCGCGATAGCGTAATTGTGAATTGGCTGCCAAGTGCCTGGATTGCAATCACATGACCACAGGCACATGCAACTTCTTGTAGATACATGGACCAGCCGCAACTAACTTCTAGTGCTATTGTATGTTTCAAATGGTTGTTGAACAAGTCATCATTAAATGAGGACTAGCTGTACAAGCAAGCATACAAATAGATATCCCTGGTTGAGGTTTAATCCTGAGCCTTTCCCTAACCTGATCCCTTCCCTAAGTATGGATTACAACAGCATTTATCACCCTTAGCAACTTTAAGAGGACTTTCTGTTCTGGGAGTTGAAGTCCACTCCTCTTAAAGTTGTTAAGATTGAGAAACCCTGGGCTACAACTTCCAAAATTCTTAGCCCTTTTAGCTAGGGAAAACTAAATTCTAGCCTAACACTGAAGCTGCTATCTCTCTTCATGCAGAAGGAAATTTATTTATGCACAAATACATGAACCACTTTGTTGTTAATTTTTCTGGGTTGTTTTCCCCTCCTTTGAGTTGGTGTGAGTGTTCCCTCTTTTCCAATTCTCCTGCACATAGCATCTTTTTATATTGGTGCTTGTAAAAATTAAAATTTAATTGCTATATTCCTTGAGGATCTGGCTGCTGATTACTTGTTAATATTTGATTCCTCCAGGACATGTTATTCTTAAGCACTTTTATTTCTCTATCATATTTTATATTTGGCTGACATTGGCTTTTTATTTTAATATCCAATTGCCGGGGGAGTTTTTAGCTGCCCAGTGAAGCCTCCCTATTATACTAATTTATCTACATTTTTCTTGCTGCTCATCCCCTTGGTGATTTTGACTAGATTGGATAAATGACCCATGACATTCTTTATTTGAAAGTTGTCTCTGTAAAGATGAATGGCTAGAAATTGAATGTTGATGTTATTTTGGAGACGTCTTCATTTTGTTGCAAATGGGCCTGTTGCGGTATCTCTGATAACCTCAGTTAGGAGAGCAAGCTTGCTGGCAAAAAGTGAAATATAAATAAATTGGATGAGTGACTTGTTCCAAAACATACTTTGACTGTTCAGAATTATGCAAATTAGAAGTGTAACTAAATGCAGATTTTGGTATCCGAGAATTCAGGCAGTGTCATGGTATACTTAGGATGGTGTATAGTTCAGTAAACATGGTTTATAGAAGTGTTTGCTTCACAGGATAGTTTGCAGGGCCAAGCTGAGAAAAAGTGGATTTCTATGCAAAGAGCTATATTTGGTGTCTGAAAAGGGAGTCAATGCAATATAGTTAGTTCTCGACTTACAGCCATTCATTTAGTGAGCGTTCAAAGTTACAACAGCACTGAAAAATGTGACTTACAACTAGTCCTCGCTCTTAAAACTGGGTCAGCGTTCCCTGTGGCCACCTGATCAAAATTTGGTTGCTTGGCATCTGGCATGTATGCACAATAGTTGCAGTGTCCTGGGGTCATGTGATCACCATTTACGAGCTTCCCAGCTGGCATCCAGCAAGCAAAGTCAATAGGGAAAGCCAGATTTACTTAAAGACCGCATGATTCATTTAACAACAGCAGTGATTTTCTTAACAACTGTGACAAAAATCATAAAATTGGGTGCATCGCATTTGCTTAACAATGGAAATTCTAGCCTCAGTTGTGGTCATAAATCAAGAACTACCTGAATCCAGAAAATTTGAAAGTTCCTTTCTCAGGCATGAAAATCGCTGGGGAGCCCAACCTGGATGACTAACATCACCAGGAAATGACACAAATGCACATGGCAGCATTATGCGAAGTCTATAACTCTCTGGCAGAAGGAGGTAGAATGACTTTGTCTGATTTTATTTTTCCGAAATCAGATTCGGAAGCAACAGCCTCCTCAGACAACAGCGATGGAGAGATGCCGAAAGGGACGGAGCCTCAGTCCCTCAAGAGGTGAGTACGTGGTGGGCTTCAGGATAGATGCAAAAATAGAAGATGGTAAATGGCTACTTGAGGCTAAAGGAGCTGCTTTCTTTAGCAGAGAAAAGAGGTAGAATTCTTGAATATTTTCAACAGTGACTTTCATTAAACAATCTTCTAGTGGTAGGTGAAAGAGGTGGTCTTGTGAGACCAGATTAGGCCTGCAGACTGGGCTTACCGACTAGAGTTGGCTGGGGGATTCTGGGAATTGAAGTCTGCCCATCCTCAAGTTGCCAAAGTCGAGAAAAAACTGGGCTAGATAAGATAACCTTTATTGTCACTTTTCTGTACATACATTGGCACGCATTAAAATGAAATTCTGATGCTCACTCTCAAAAGAAGAATCTATATCTATATCATCTATATCTATATCTACATCTATATCTATATCTATATCTATATCTATATCTATATCTATATCTATATCCATATCTATCTATCTATCTATCTATCTATCTATCTATCTATCTATCTATCTATCATCTCCATATACTGTATATCTCCAGATTACACACATACACACACACACACACACACACACACACACACACACAAACACAAATAAATCATGGTCCATTTTGAATATATTAGCGGAAAAAAGAGTCTTGAAAGTTCACAAAGTTAATACCATATGGAATAAAGCTGTGACTAAATCTAGATGTTCTGTTTCGGGTACCACGAAGCCAGAAGGTAACAAAATCCGTCATGGAGAGGACGTGTAGCATCCTGACAATACCACAGGCCCTGATCAAGCAGTGCTTATATGCTATATTCCGGATAGAAAAAGCGAGCTTCCAATAATCTTTTCTGCTGTCCTCACCACTCTCTGTAGGACCATCCTGTCTGAAAACAGTAATACTTCCAAACCAAACAGAAATACAGTACGAAAGTTTGCTTTCAGTTGTCCCTCTATAGAAAGTGATAAGGACAGGAGAAGGAAGATGTGTTCTTCTCATACAATGCAGGTGGTGTTGTGCCTGCTTCACCATTGTCTCACTGAATGAGTGACCAAGCTAACCTGCTTGTCAGCTACACACCCCAAAACTTAGTACTACTAACCACCTCCACAGTTGAACCATTAAAACACAGAGCTGTATGACTGTGCCTGCCTTTTCTGAAGATGTTCCCCATTGTAGCTGCATGGCTTAGCACAGTCATGAGCTAAATTCCTTCATAATTCAAGGGGCCTTTTTTGCCTGTTGTCTTATTGAAACAATACCTTTTAGCACAATGGATCGTTCCCATGTACTCAAGACAGGTTGTTTCAATGGAGCACATTTTTGGCTGCTGTTCATCCATGGCATCTCTTTCTGCTCACAGAAAACACAGCCCCCAGCTTGGCAGTGCCTCATCACCATCCTCCTCAGGTCTTTCTCTGCAGCCAACATCTGGTTTTGGACTTCCAGCTTCAGGGACATCATCGCCCTACTTAGCCTCAGTGAGTAATCCTGCCTCCATGTGGGTAATAAGGCTGAGGAGATAATTGTCCAAAATGGACTCCGAAGCTGGGAAAAGACTTAACAGAGACTAAGGGTTCCCCAGCCTGATTTCCTTCAGCTGGGTCGGATCAGATCTCTTCTTGCTTCGACTCTGCTGGTTTGAAATGTTGCAAGTTGTAATCTATTACAGGTAGTCCTCAGCTTACAACCAAAATTAAGCCCCGAATTTCCATTGCTAAGTGACACCAAAGTTCTGTCACTAAGCAAGACAGTTGTTAAGTGAGTTTTGCCCCTTTTATAATCTTTCTAGCCACAGTTGTTAAATGATTCATTACAATTGTTAAGGTAGTAATAGTTGTTAATGGGGAATCTGCCTTCTCCATTGATGTTGCTTGTCAGAAGGTCGCAAAAGGTGATCATATCACCCTGGGACACCACAACCGTCAAAAATACACACCAGTTTCTAAGCGTCTAAATTTTGATCACATGACCATGGAGATGTTGCAGTGGTCATCAGTATGAAAAAAGTAATCAGTCACTTTTTTTCAGAAGGGTAAGTCGAGGACTACCTGTAAAGAAACTAAGTCAAAAAAAACCCTTGATTTTCAGTGAACTTTGGACCAACTTTCAACCAGATTACCTGAGGAATAAGAGAATATAGCTTGAAATCAGATAGCAAGGAGAATTCTAAGCCATTATTTACCTCAGTTTTCCTAGACTCAAATTTGAAATAAAGGGTTTTCTGTGTGTGCAATGCTCTTAGCATGGTTGTGTTGGAGTGGGACTGCTGAGTTTGCTAAAAAAAAACACCAAACCCAATACTACACACCTAATAGTCCTGCTCCATAATATATGTCCCCAAAGGGCACCTTAATATCAAGATTTACTGAATGCTTGAGTTTGCCCAGTGTAATTCCTTCCCTTAGTTATTTCATTAATTCATGTTTTGATTTGCACAAATCATTGAAATGGAAAAACTCCAAAGTGGGTTGAGTTCACAAATAGCACTCTAAGCCAGAAGCCCACTTCCCACAACCAAGATTAGCATGTTTTTACAACTGCGGGTGCTGGGACTCTACTAGTTTTACTTGTCCTGCTAACCCAACTAATATTTATATCACAAGGCTTTGGCTTCATCCCATTTTTTATCTTTTTATCTTGGTTTCCATGTCACTTCCATTTCACCTTATTATTTCCAAGTGTTTAGTGCTGAACATAGGCATAAAAATTAGGCCTCCATTTATCTTAGTCAATGATAATTGGATGCCTGGAAGAACATAGCACATGATTCTAATATGTTTCGAAATAAATTGCTTTTAAAAAAATGCCTAAATGAAGAGCTGTAAGTTGTTTCTGCATCTCTGGTTCCCTTCCCAAGCATTGGAAAGATTTAAATTTTGCACTTTTTGGACTGAGGGCATTTCATGTTTCTGTTGTCCCAGATCATCTGAAGGCCGCAGGGAGACAATGGGGAGAATGACACAATGATGCATTTTCTCACACAAAAGACCCTGAGATACATTGCAGTGTTTCAACCCTACTTTTCCCTGGTTTTTCAAATTTGGCAACTCCTTGCTGTGTCTCAAATGCAATTCTTCCATTGTAGGTCAGCCTGAGTTAGATCAAGACCAATATTTGTTTGTATTTTTACACACTGGGCCAAAATATGATTTACTCATGTATAGAACTTCGTGATAATTTTGTTTCATCCTAGCCCAAAGGAATAGATTAAAAAACTCTTTGGACTTTCTTTAACTCTCTGCACTTGATCAAATGTGTGCAACAAAGGCTTTGATGGATTTACGATGCTAATATTTGATTAGGTCTGGATCTCTTCCAAGGATCTATTTCGAATTAGCTCCTTTATCTCCCTTAACCAAATTAAATTCCTTAAATGTAGAAGGGCGTTTAACCTCCCTGGTACGATTGAAAGTCCATCCTAAGTGAATACAAGGAAATCTCTTTTAAATTAAAAGTTTGCCCATGCATACAAGAGGTCTTTGAAGCCATGAAATATGTCTACTAATATTCCCTATTTTATGCTGATACATCTTCAGGTCGATAACCCCACATCTCAATAATTTTTCCGGTCATTCTGACTGGTTGTATTTACTTTTTTTTTTTTTTACTTTCAAATCCATGTAATTCTGTTAGGTTAAGTGTGGCAGATAAATCCAGTTAATTTTATAATCTGCGCTGACCCCAATTCATGTAACTTGTTTTACTGTATTTACTATGAGTTTTATTATGTATTGGTCATTGACTGAGATTGAGTGAATTCATCATCTTGGCTAGGGATCTGGAAACCCTGGGTGGCCCATGTAATATAAATTGGATGCAAACAGAATGATAGTCTGTGTTAATCTGTCTTTCGGGATATATTTGTGGATGTATAATGTCTCAGAAAAAAAGATGACTCTGGAGAACTATTTCCACAAGTGGTTAAAAAGAGGGCACCAAAGAATCCAAGCATTTGGAAGGGTTTCCATACCGTTGAGGGAAAAAAATAATTAAGAAACCAGATTTGAGGTTTGTTTGGTATTTATTTATTTATTATTTTCCAAGTCTGGAACACCGTACATTAAAAAGAGAAGATATGATACTTAAAATGAGTGTAATAATCTAAACAAAGAAAACTTCGAATAACTATATAAGGAATATAAAAATTAAAACACAGAAGGAATGCAAAACACTTAATGTGACATTATATAGCATCTGAGGCCCAGAAAGTAGTGTTTTGAATAACTTTTATCATTGGCTGGCAATAAATCATCCATTGTACATGAATGATCCATCAAGATTGTGACATATCAATAAACGTTCAGGACTCTGTAATTCCCCATATTTGCATTTGAGGTTGATCAAATTATGCATGGTTCTGAGAGGCAACCTTTTTTTCTAGGAGCTGGGTGATTTCCTTGCCTGATACAAACTTCAGGAGATTCAGGATAGGTCCCATTGTCCTTTTCCTGTAATTTATGTATGGAATTTTCTGCTAAAATGTGCTGTTAAAATAGATGGCTTTGAAACAAACCATTCCTTTCCTCGATCAACCTCCTCCTTGCAGGGATTGTGCCACAGAAAAGCCATAGGATTCCAGATTCAGGGCTAGTGCGGAAAATTGGGAGAAATTGGGATACTCTGGAAGATGGATTTTTGCAACTTGGCGCCATCCAAATGTTATCATGCTCCTCATCTTCACCAACACCCATGTTGGCTGGTTGTGGAGAGAACGTTGGCCATCTGAAGGGGCCCAGTTGGACTGCCACTAAATCGGTCCATTGCTGGTGCGAAGACAATATCTTGGCTTTTCCTAGCTAGATGTCCTCCAGATGGGTTCGGATCACAGTTTAATACAACCCTCCCCAACCGGGGAGAATCACCTGCTCAACATTCATATTTTGATTTTATTTTTTTATTCCATCTCTTCCCTCTTGCCATCCCTTTCCCACCCAGCTGAATTCACCCACTTATGCTCCCTTCCCCTCTGACTACTTGGCACTGGGGCCCGAACCTGTTGCCCCCCAGCCTGACAGCAACGCCACTCGCTCTGCCCGGCGGCCAGCAAGGCCCCACACGCTCAAGGTACCTCAAAGAAGGTGGTGGGGGTGGATGGAGACGAGGGCTGCCTATATGGGCGGGGGTGAGATGGATGTGCAAGGTCAGATGTGTTTCGGCTGACAAACAAAACACTGAAAAACTTTATTTCTTAGGGAAGTTGCCCTGACTGAGTGGAGCGAATAAGCTATGATAAAAGAAACGAGATGCATGTATGCTTCAAACTTCAAGTTAGCTTTGAACCCTTGTGCTGTCGTGGCTTGAGGCTTCTATGAAACATGTGAATAATACTGCACGCCTACAGCAGATATTCACTCATCCAAACTTGCTTTTGATTCTCGTGCTTTGGGCTACAGTCATAAAAATTTTCTAAATGAAAGCAGGATGTGGTTGGGTTTCAGGGGTTTATAAGACGTTCAGCATTATGTTGTGAGAAAAGAATCTTATCGATTTATGGAGGTTTTTTTTTTTTTTTTACCGTGCCTTGCATCTTCATAACTGGGCTCACAAATACTGGGATGCGTTTGTGTAATATGGTACATTAAACCTGCATTAAGTGGCCCATAGAGAAAAGTCAGGCAAGGAACTCATTGCGAAGCCAGGAGCTGTAGAGGTGTTGCTAGTAGTAACGTGGTCATTCAGATTACTGGGCACACAACTGTTCAGCCTCATGGGGGGAATTTCAGGGGCATATGACCCTAAGGCACCCATGTTACCCCTTAAGCCCATAGCTGTTGAAAAATGGTGGGAGCATTGTTGGCGCTGCGTATTCTTGGGGTGCTCTTAAGGGACATGGTGGATCTCATGTGGTTTGTGGGTTGTGAATGACTCAACCCTATGTTTAAACCAGAAGTCGTCAAAGTTGGCACCTTTAAGACTTTAAGCATAGTGGCTGGGGAATTCTGGGAGTTGAAGTCCACAAGTGTTAAAGGTGCTGCGTTTGCAGACTTCTGACTTAAGACATATAAAACCATGCTTAACAAATGTCAGTGGTTGGATTTGGACAAAGAACCAAAGCATCATCATAGGTCAGGGTGTGAAAAGCCAGATCTCCATGAAAGAAAGCGAGGAGGAAAAAAGAAGAAAAAGCCAAAAGATCCAACATCCGCCTCAGTTCTCCTCTCTTTCTTCTCGTCTGCAGCTCCCGCTGCCCCCAGCCTCCCACTCAGACTGTTCCTCCGTCGTGGTGGGATTACCTTTTCCTTCACCCAGAGGGACTCCCAAGCTGCCACCCCCTACAATCCTCAGCACGGTGCCCCACCAGATGTTCAGTGATGCAGGAGAGGGAAGCGGCGAAGACCCCCTGGATGGTGACGATGAGCTGGTCATTGACATCCCTGAGTGACGGTGGCAAAGCAGGCGCGTAAATTTGAAAGGACACAGGCCTCTCAGTTGTGTGTGAGGGGTATGGTTCCCCTCCCTTTTATTATTTCTTTGTTTACAGACTCAGGAGGGGGGGGGAAACATGCAAAACAGTCAATAAAGGGGATTTTGTTTTTGTATTAAAAGCATCCGGTTGCAATTTTTACCCTCTGTGTTCCTTTCCTCTGCTGAAATCCTTGGGCTACTAACAGTTTGGCGAGACGTTCCCTGACCCTGTTGTGTGACGTGCCGTCATTTTACACACTGGTAAAGAAAAAAATCTGCTTGAAATATAATTAGCATCCGTTGACGAGGTAGAGCAAAATTTCTCTTTTGCTGCAAAAGAAAACAAAGTTCTCGAGAATTCAAGGGATTCTTTAAAAAAAAGTGCTTCAGATCTACAGGCGGTCCTCGACTTAACAACCATTTGTTTAGTGACCATTCAAAAATTACAATGGCATTGGGGAAAAAAATGACTTACAACTGGTCCTTGCACTTAAAACCATCACAGAGTCACATGATCAGAATTTGGGCACTTGGCAACTGGCAGGTATTTATGACAGTTTGTGTCCCAGAGTCAGGTGACCACTGTTTGCAATTTTCTTGGTTGGCTTCTGACAACCAAGGGGAAGGGAAGCCAGATTCACTTAACAACTGTATGATTCACTTAATGACTACAGTGATTTGCTTTAACGCCTGCAGTGAAAAAGGTAAACCTACTTAACTACTTCACTTAATGACAGATGTTCTGGGTCCAACTGTGGTTGTAAATTGAGGACCACCCATAGTCCAGGTGGGAAGAGAGAGCAATAACCAGGAATTTTTCTACTGCACATGTAAACATTGTTCATCTATGACTTCTCCTCGCCCAACTTAAGTGCAGTTTAACCCTCAAAATGCTTGTGACAGTTCTAACTGAGCTGAAAACATCCCATGTTTTGTAACTGCATTTTTAATTTATTTTACCAGATGGTTTCTCCACAAGTTGCTACTCGTTGCAGTGCTTCATTATTTTTACTACAGATTTTTTTTTTTTAGTGCTGGTGGGAATACAATAAGAAAGAGTCCTCTAATAAAAATTGTAAAGAAAAAAAAGAAGAATCTTTTATCAGTTGAAAGAAGAGAATATTTCTCAGGCCACATGGGTGAATCAGCTGTAAGAGAAATGAAAGCACTCACTTTACTTGGCTGTGAAACAATTGTGTATAAACACAGATGGAAGACACTACCTCTCTTTCAGCGTTGATTCACATCTTACAAAGCAAACAGATCTGTCACTTGAGGACTGAGTGTCTCTTGCTGAACAGCTAGGCTGTTCAGAGAGGAAGTGAGTGGTTTTAATTGAGGGGGTCCAAGATATTTTGGTCCCTCGGGAAGAAAACTCAACTGGTAATTCTCCCCCACCCTCCTGCTCACATAGTGATTAAAATAAGAATAAGCTAAATGGTAATTTCTGCATTTAACGTTAATTTCTGCTTTTAATCACCAGCTTGGTTGCCTGTGATAGATCTGTTCAAGGTATTCAAGCTAAAAGGAAGGCAGAATCAGCCCTGTACATGTGTCAGGCCCCTCAACTCTTGCTAACTTTAACAAACCCCTTCCCCAAACCGGGTTAGGAGTGTCCAGAGCCTGTTCTGTAAACATATGATGGCTAACCTGGCTGTGTTTACATTCTAAACGAGGAACATCTAAAAAGGCACAATTGCAAGCAATTCCAGAAAAGTAGCAGATATTGAGAAAACCAGGTGGCTGCGCAGAAAATAACATTGAAGAAGTTGCTGAACATTTTGGGGAGAAACAGAGAATTACGGAAAGAAGAACGCTAGGTAGTCCAGAAATGTAAGTGAATCATAGAGATTATATTAGGGGAAGGAGAGAAAAATAGTACGCATGCTACTTGATTGGTTAAAAAATACCTTCCCAATCCATTTGTCTGAAGCAAAGTTATAGAAAACTGCTTTAAGTAGCATGAGTCCCATTCAAAATTGATACAGAGGGTGAGAACATTTCTAGCTTGATTCAGTGGATTGGATGAATTGCCCATTAAGGTATATTGACAAGTGTTCTCTGAACTTTTGAGAAAACATGGGGTGTGATTGTGGTATCAGGAGAAGAGATCCATTGGGGAGGGGGGGGGAGGAAACACGGTTTTCTAGAACAATATCAGGAAATCATTAAAACATAGTAATAGAGCCTCTAGGCCTCCTGAGAAGCGGCACATTGAAAACAGCATGTCAAATTTGAGACTGATTCACATTAACCTTAATTATTTTTCCTAGTTTACTACCTTAATGGCACTTGGGAATTTGGTGATTGGTTGCCTATTGTGTTTAGATTGGCAAGCATGTTCAGTGTGTGTGAGCTCCCACTGTTTGGTGCATTCAGGACTGGAAAACTTTAAAAAATCTCCTGTAAAACACAGACATGAGATATGATGCTGCCAATTTATTATTGGCAATGATATAATGATAAAATCCTTAATAAATTTGCAAGTCTTATAGAACTGCAAGTTTTATAGTTAAGCCACCTGAATGGTGCAATTAAAACTCAATGGAAAACTGCCCTGAAACTACGAAGATGAAATTCAAAGAGACTAATGCAAATAATTTGCTATAAAACAAAAATGAAAAAAAAAAAAAGATTTACAAGAAGGAGATTCATGGTACAAATCAAAGTGAGAAGTATCTGTTATCGATTGCCGGTTAAGCCTGAGGCAGCACCTTAATGGGGGTGCTAGAAAAGGTAATGTGAATTTCAGATGTGTTGGTAGACTTATACTTCACCCAAAATTGCGGTTCTTTATTCTGTGTTCCTCCATGTGCTATTCTAAAGCTCTGTCTACCCTCCTTTCAGACTTGACATTTTTGGTTTCCCCCTCCCCAACTTTCAATGTGCCCAGAATCTTTTCAGATTCGAATAGCTTGCCAATGTGAAGGAAAAAGCAGAGCATTGAACTTAAAGCAAATAAAGAGGACAATATTGTTTGCTCTGACCCTCTTAGAAACAATAGGATGGACGGGGTGAAAGCTTGACACAGAAATAAAAAAGAATGCATAGCTTGAGCCAGCATGCATCTGAAAGATAGCAACTTAATTAGAAGAACTGAGCCATATGGAAAATCAATGCAGATGCTTATTTTTTTATGGTGCAGAAATACTACAATTAATTGCTACTGACATTTCTAAGTTAAGAGGAAGCAAGAGCCCATGGGGAAAAAAATAAAAGAAAAAAATAATAATATTGGGAACTTTAAAATGAAATTACTTCATCCTTTTGACCGGTTGGTTTGTTCCTTTTGAAAGGTTAAAAAAATAGGTTTTGCAGCCAGCAATAATTTGTATAAAAGTAGAAGCATTTCACAACCACTCTTAGGTTACAAGGTGAGAGAAAAGAGCAGGGGAGGGGGGAAGAAAAAGACCGGAAGGGCAGAGGGATTATTTTGGATTTTACCCATCTGATGCTTGCTTGGGACACGTAGCAATTCCGATGGCTGCCCGTCGGATGCTTCCTGCGCTTCTCGGCTTTCCAGCCCTTCTTCCCCCAATCCCTCACGTGTGGCCTTCCGTCTACAGTAAGTGCCTCCCTAGAGCATAGCATAAATGGTCCCCCACGACAAGTAGTTTTGAAACGTGCAAACGTCCTCGTGCAAAAGAGGGGCCTTTGGGTGCTGGGCCCCTCTGGTTGGGTTTTTTTTTTTTTTTTTGGCAGGCAGGCAAGATAGAAGGGTGTAGTTCTATGGGATCACGAGGGCTTCAAGGGCCAAAGGTGGAGGATTCTGGGAGCTCGTTGGTGAGAGTGTGCCAATGTTCCAGGCGGCAGTCAGAGGTCTGGAGGCATGAGAGCCAGTGTTGCCGGCACTCCCCACTGGCCCCTAATCCCAGGGTCACTCCACCTGCAACGAGACAAGAGGTTCTTGCAGTTTCTGAGCTGCTGGTTATGGAGTTGCCTTTTTCCTAGACCTGTCATCAGGCAGATCTCAGGGATACCGCAGTCCGCCCCCCTACCCCTGCAATAAATTAAAAATATTCCTATAGAATGGAGGAGGCTATGAAGTTTGGAAATCTCAGCCTCAAATTCTCTTGAGATATTCTGGATATTCTTTTCTTTTTTTAAAAAATTTTTTTTTGTGAGTCTGCAAATGCAGTCCCTGTTGGTTCTCCTGTTGGCTGATGAAAACATCCAGTAGAAAAGAATATTTGTAGCTCAAGCTGGAGTTGTGGAATTCTTGGTGACCTGCGAGCTTGGTTGTTTGCTTGCAGTTGTGTTGTTTCACAACTAGGCAACATCATCGGATGAAGTTTTACCCAAGTAGGTAACATCAGATGATGTTACCTAGTTTGTAAATGAAATGTCTGCAAGCAAAGAGCCAAACTCAGGGAGCACCAAGAAAAGGCTCCACTGAAAAGATATCACTTCTGTGACATTCTCTAGCCTTACTATCAGTGTAACCGTTAGGACTTCTCCTTCAGCATCTTAAGAAGAATTCTGAGAACTTTCTGAATGAGCAAGAGACTCCTGGCTATCCCTATAGACCAGGGGTCTCCAAACTCAGCAACTTTAAGACTTGTGGACTTCAACTCCCAGAATTCCTTAGCCAGCTGAGGAATTCTGGGAATTCAAGTTCACAAGTCTTAAAGTTGCCAAGTTTGGAGACCTCTGCTATAGACCAATAAAGAGAATATCTGTAGATCAGGTTTGAAATGAGGAGTCCTTGGTACTCTCTGAGCTTAGTTGTTTTCTTGCAGATGTTTCATTACCCAAACTAGGTAACATTATCAGTACTACCCATCATCAGGTAACATCACTGATGTTATCTAGTTTGGATAATGAAACGTCTACAAGAAAACAACCAAGCTCAAGAGAGAACCAAGGACCCCTCATATCCTTGTAGAATTAAATCCCAGGCTTTCAATCCAGGTTAACACACCCAGCATCTGCTAGATTACACAACCCTTCCCTAAAACTAGATTATCCTCTTCCATCTTCTCACCAATGAAGTCATTTGATTTCCCAATATCGTAATCCCAAACGGTGATTTCCAAGGATTTATGACCAAGTTCTGACTGTTCAATCTCATAGAAAAAGTCCTGCAATGG